CGTGCTTTTGAGGTATGTACGTTTGGACCATGCATACATACATACATACCTCTTCTTGTCTAGTTATGTATGTTTCCCCAGACATACATACATACCAGACATTCCTGTCATTTTCTAGGTATGTATGTTTCCCCGGACATACATACATACTGGGTAGGTATGTACCTTTGGACCATGCATACATACATGCATGCCTCTTCTTGTCTCGGTATGTATGTTTCCCCAAACATACATACATACCATACATACCTCTCATTTTCTAGGTATGTATGTTCCCCAGAAACATACATACCCCTGATTTTGAGGTATGTACCTTTGGACCATACATACATACATACCTAGACGGGGGGGGGAGGCAGGGGATGCCTGCTAGATACCTACTAACCTCCGAAAACAAGGTATGTATGTTGTAGTGGCACCATAGTGGAATAGCAATTGGTGCTTGCACAATGGAAAATTCTGCCGCTTGCTAAATTGATGTTGATTGCGCAAGCCTGTGTGACACCAAAACATTCGCAACCCTGCTCTCCTACTCCTGCAATATCTTACTCTTGCAAGGGAATCATGGACCCGCTGGGCTCCATCCTTGTGGTTTTTGACCCACAAGGCTGCGGTCGGGGAGCCCCTCAGCTACACCATCAGGCTTTCAGATTCCCAGCTGGACGGCTTGGCCAACTTGAAGGCCAACGTGGCAGAGCAGTCGTCGGTGAAACCACATGTGAGTTCGCCGGTGTACACGCACCTTGACTTTCAGAGGTCTTCGGCAGGAAGCAAGAACGTTGAGGAATTCTTGCTGCGGTTCCTGGCATCGGGGCACAAGCTTCTTGATGCCAAAGGTGCCAACACCAGAGCCAAGCCTCAGTTCATTTCAACTCCCTTGTGACACTAGCAACCTTCAAAGGTTAAAGAGTTTCAGCGCGTTTCAGCTATCTTCAATGGTCTTCTATATTCTTCTATGTGAAAGTATGAAATGATGCCATTTGGTTTGTGATGTTGTGTCAAAATACTTGAAGTATCTTGACTGACCTGTCTTGTCTAGCAGTGTTGGCCAATGGCGCCACTCGTCAGTGTTGGAACATGTCCAACAAGTTCAAAAGCATGAAACGTGACAGGACATAGGTAGCACATGGTAGCGCTCTTTACTCTTTGGCATCGATGGCTGGAAGGTCCAATAGGGTATAATTGGACGCAACACCATGCAATATGATGCCATGACATATGATTTCATGCAATGACACATTGTGACACATTGAGAGAGGCAGTGCTGAATAGAACTGAAAACACATGTGTTGACTCTCTCTATGTCTTCTGTTGTCTTCTACTTATCAGGGGCTCCTTCATCATGCTTCCTATGCAGCTTGTTCATTCAGGATCATCGCTGCTGGAGATAATAGTAGCATATATAGTAGCATGATGTAGCATGCACACGCAACAAAAAGAAAGTAATTGCAACAGCTGCCAAGGTAAGGCGTTAAGGCCATGCATGCATCTTCATGCGCGATGATGCGCGTTGCTCTTTGTGACGCGTGCTCAAGAGCAACTGCTTGCGGCTGGACATTGCAGAAAATGGGCCCAGAAAATTGTGGATGTGCAATCGGCATGAGCCCACACTTTCCATATGAAATTTGCTGACTCGGCAACCGCCCCCCACTAGAATTGGCTAGCCACTAGACACCCCCCCGGCGATTGATGCTTGGGTAGTTTTTGTTTTCGACACCCCTGATCTTCCGCCATGCGCTGGCGAATAACCTGTTTCGATGAGTAAATTGAGCCGTGGATTGCATTTTCCATTGTCCATTCAAGGAGCAAAATTAGGAGCAAAAGCACCCTGGCAACACCTGTGGTGAAAATTGGATGTGTATTAGAATGGGTGGCCCCTCGAGGATCTCTGGGAAAATCGAAAGCAGACAAAGCCATACAAAATCCATTGGTTGGGAGGCCCCTTTAGATTTCGAACCCAAATGTGTCTTTCTGAAGACTCGGTGGTGTAGCGTGACATTGAGCAAAGCCTAATCTTTCCCACCAGACCTGCCCAGTGAACCCCTTGTCGTGTTGGGGCTGTGTGACACCGTTGTGAAGATCCAACAACGAGTGCTTAGAAAGTGGATCTCAGCTTAAGAATTCTTGAGAACTGGGCGCCCAAAAATTCCCAACGAAGCACGGGCGTCGTGCGTCAGACTCCTGTCCTGTGCGCCTCCTTTGTCACCGTTGAGCAGCAAAAAACCCGGCCAGGTTACTAGGTTTGAGCTAGAAAAACATGGGGCTGGCATATGTACATGGTTGATTTCAGGGGTCAGTGTATTTAGGCAAATGTTCTTTATACATGAAATGTCTGGGGCAGGACACAATTCATCTTACCCAGACCCTCCGTGAGTCCAAATTCCTCTCTCCTGGTCGGAAACCCCCAGTTTATAGACTCCCCTGAAGATCCGCGTTCCATCCCAAAACCACCCGAAATGTGTGGTGCTGGACCCGGAGTGCACCACCCCACGCCACCCCATCCGGTCCCGTGTTTCATGACTCCGGTCGGTCGACCTCGCCGGTTTTCACGCTCATGGCCGGTCGCTTCGCGAGGAACATTTTTCACTGGATCTTCGACCTCATGGACGTGAAAGAGACCTGCAGGTCGCGACGCTTTTCGGTCGCGACGCGACGGACGAGTGAGGGGGACTGGGACGCTGACTTATTATTTCCAACTGTTGGGAGGAATGGAATCTCCCCAGGATCCCAGGGCATTCCATGGGATTCGATTCTGCAAAACAACATGGTTTTAGCATGTTTGAAACGAAAAACCGTGAGTCCCTCCAGGGGACGCCCTTCCCTCGCCATTCTTGTTTCGTCCGGAGATGGCCCAAGTAGAGGGCTCGACGACCATGCGGTGCTATATGCGTTCTCCTCGCCCTGCGGCCACGGTGTATAGAATCTGGATCCAACTTCACGTACCCTAGACTAGAAAGGGGACGTTTCACAGGGTCAGACTGGTTTTGAGTCCCTTGCCGTGGATATGACGTGGGGCACCGGGCCCCCTACCGTTCGGCACCGGCGCCGGGATGTTTTGTTTGGGCTTCGGAGGGAGAAAAGCCACCCCGCCAGACATTAACATGAATACAGCGCTCAGACCTTCAAGACTTCGGCAATGAAACGTCGTTCTTCGCCAGAAAAGGTGAGGAAAAAGAACTCTCCGGGACTTCCACGACCTGTCTGCGTGGGCCATAATATGTACAGTGTTTTAACACGAAAATGATAGAGTGAAGTCGGGATGCCGCCCGCAAAATATCAAGTTCAAGACCTGGACCCATGGAATCTCACTGGGTTCCCCTGGCTTGCGGGGTGCTGATTGGCTGGTGGGCACGGGGTCTTCACCTTCCAGAGCCCATCGCTCCACCTTGCCATTGTCACTGTGGCTGCACGTGAAAGTTCCTGGGCCCCATCGACAATTCTTTGGGATCCTGATTTTCTTCCTTTTGGTCGCAGCAGCAGTTTTGATTGCTCTGGCTGTCCTCACGAGAATAGGATCCAAGGAAGAGGCCGTGCAACATTCCCCCAAGGGGAAAAAAGGAGCATTCGGAGTCAGCGGAAAAGTACTGAGCTTGACGGGTTGATATGATGCATCCCGGCGATCTTTGTCTAGTGAACTACGGTGAAGTGCCACCGGTTTGGCACGCGAGACTGCTTTTAGCACCGGTCCAAGGCACGACATGGCAGATCTTGACCCCAGACTACGACCGTTACGCTGAACAGATGGATCATCTCAATAGTGATTTCACTGGTTTTGAGTATCTGGGCCACAACATTGTCATTCCTCCTCATATCCCAGCACATCAGGTCTATGGCTTTGCCCCTCTGGCTCCAGGTGTGATGGCCACTCACTTCCACCATGGACGACTTGAGGCCAATGCTGAGAGGGCCAGCCTAGGACTACCACCTCTGCGAGCTGTGCCTTCTCCTGGCGCCCCGGTGCCGCCAGCAGCGCCAGTCCCTCCAGCACCCCCCATGGTGCCTGGAGTGCTTGGTGCAGCGCCTGCCGCCGCAGCTGCAGCCGCTGCTCCAGCGGCAGCAGGGGCCGTAGGAGGTCCTGTCAATGTGTGGGTGGCAATTGAAAACTCAGGGGGTCGGCGAAGAGGAGATGTTATTTGTGTGGAGCCCAACCCTTTACCAGTGGGACATCTTTAGCTTGGTGATAGAGCTCTGTTGCCGGACGTGGGAGGAGGAGCCAATAGTTGTTTTGCAAGAAGGGTTCCACAATTCAAAGTGGAGAACTTTCGGTTGGACGACTTGCGAATCTTGCCCATCAAGTTTGACCCATAGGGCACCGGGAGTTCAATGATGCGGTAGCAAGCATGGTAGATGGTGTGCCCCAAGGGGAGGTCTTCAATTGGAAGGCCCAACTACTGGCCTCAACATCTTGAAGAATCTGAGGGATCAGAACATGACACCCACCACCTTCCATGAGTTCTGGCTTCGTTCTGCAGAGATCCCCAAGGGTGACAGGTCAGTGTATGAACATGAGTGCTTGTCGAGAATCCTTGAAAGTCTCGTGACCATTGACCAGCTCAACGTTTGTGCCTTGCAGGGGGCTGAATTGGTGGCCCGACGTCTTCAGGTCATCCGAGAGGCCCACCGCATCTCGCCGTCAGCTCCGGATTACACGGCAGCAGACGACTTCATGGGGTGGGGCTGGAAGAAGAGCTCGCAAGGGATCGACTCAGCCCTTTCAGCTCACGTGGCGACTGAGCTCAAGAACGAAGCCTCCATTGCCAAAGAAGCTCGAAAGGCAAGAGAAGAAGCAGTTGCACGCCGCCGCAACCCCAAGCAATCTGGGGCCGGCGGCGAGAAGTCATGAGCTCTTACAGTTCCTCTCGCATGGCTGCGGGGCGAGAGGAAGGTCGAAGACAACACGCAGCAGGTCGCCTTGACGGTGGCCAAGTTTTCGATTTTTCAGGCAAGGGGGCTATTCGTTGGCGAGAACTTTTCCCTCTTCCTGGGACCCCGGTGACCGATGTCTGGCCAGGTTCATCAACTTGCATTCGCAGGCGGAAGGCGAGAGTCAGAGACCGGGCACGGGAGGTGAATGAAATAGTGGGCTGTTTGAATGAGATGTACATCCCCCTGAACGTGGTTTTTTGGAGGGCAAGGTGACTGCACCTCAGGAGTCCAGCACACATGCTTTATTCAAACAACTTGCGCGACAAAAGAGACCGGCAAGACTTTGTACACATCCCTCGCCTACTCCGGGGAGGAGAATGCATGTTTGGTCCGATCCTATGAAAGAGACCTAGTTTCACTACCCGCGTGCGGTACACAACCGACCTCGCTGTACGAGGTATTGGACGACATCGGTCGAGAGTTCATTGAGGATCCCTTCAGTGGTATATGATGCTTAGTGAGGATGAGTGGGGAGCTGTGCAAGAAAAACATCAAGGTTTTAGGCCGTACATGGACGATGTGTTGCAGAGTGACCCCGACAAGTATCAACAGTTCGTTCAAGACCTTCATGATCGAGGTATGATTGATTTTTGCAATTCTCCGAAGGACCTCATCACTCCATTCTTTGTGCGTAAGCAAAACAACAAGCAACGCTTCATTCTGGATTGTCGAGGAGTCAATCGTCGATTCCAGCCACCACCTCCCTTGGCGATGGCTGCAGGCAGTGCCTGGGCGAGGGTGGGACTACGACAGGAAGACACTTTGTACATAGCCCAGTCTGACATCAAGGAATATTTCTACTCGCTAGCCCTCCCCGACAACCTGAATAAGTCTTTGTTTTGTTTGCCACCGGTTCCCCACGAGCTGCTTCAGGCTTGGGGGGTGGACTATGACAAACGATGTGAAGCAGCTGAAGGCGGTTGGGTCTGGCCTGGATTGCGGGTTATTCCAATGGGCTGGTCATGGGCTATGTGGTTGTCCCAAAGAGTTCACGCAAATATTTGTCTTCAAGAAACTGGCCTGAGCTTTGAGAGAGTTCTGGTGGATGGCAATCCCTGTCCAGACCTGTCAGGTGGAGAGGTTGCCCTGCTACCGTATGCGGACATTCTCAATGTGCTCGGGATTGACCAGGCTAGGGTTCAAGCAGTCAAGGACAAGATTGTTGGTGGACTCCGAAGGGTTGGTTTCATAGTACATGAGGAGTTGGAGGCATGCAGCATTGCGCAGTCTCTAGGCTTTCTCATTGATGGTAGCAGTGGGGTCGTGACGCCTATTCCGGAAAGGCTGGACAGGGTGGTCAAGACCTTTGCATGGTTGGCCAAGAGGCCAAGGGTCAATGGAAAAGCTTTGGAGAGAGTTTTGGGGCATGCCGCACACTTGTGTATGTTGAGGCGAGAGCTGCTTTCAATTTTTAGGGCTAGCTATGACTTCATTCAGGCTTCCTACAACAAGCGCTGCAAACTATGGGACTCAGTAGCTAAGGAGGCAAAATGGGCTTCACACCTCATGAAACTGTGCTCTGTTAATTTGAGGAGACAATGGAGTTCAGACATTACAGCTTCAGACGCATCTCTGTCAGGCATCTCAGTGAGTCGGCGAGCGCTGGAACCGGCGCGACAGTCTCTCCATGGGGAGCGAAACGAACTATGGAGATACAAAGTCAACACCAAGGTTCATCCTAGGCCTGCTGCCCTGGAGAGCGCACTTGCGCCCCTAGATCCTTTTCGTGATCCACAAACCGTGAAGCCACTGGAGGTGAAAACTAGAGATCCTTTCATGCTGGACCCCGATTTCCCCGAAGTTGATCCAGAAATCATGGAGCAAGAGGCATGGCATGAGGTTTTTTCATCGCAGATGCTTTTACCGGAACACATCACGTTGTTGGAGGGTCGAGGGATAGTTGCTGCAATTCGACACAAGTTGAGAGCATGTTCAGAGTTTGGCAAGCGACATTTGCACTTTGGAGACAATCTAGGGATGATCCTCGCGTGTTGCAAGGGTCGCTCAAGTGCCTATGGCATGCTTAGGGTTAGTAGACGAATTTGCGCTTTGGTGTTGGCCGCTGACATCTCATGGGCATGCAGGTGGGTTCCAAGTGAACTCAACGTGGCAGACAAAGGCTCTCGACGGTGGGAACATTTGAGGCTTGATCGAGATGCTGCGACCGGAAGCCAAAACCAAAAGAAAAAGACCATCGACTCTTTGTGTTACCCCAACTCCGTGGCCAGAACAGGGAGACGGAAAGCTGAGATCGATTGGCTTGATCGACAATGGGAAGAAGAAGAAGGAGCCCGAAGAAGCCTCCACGCCTTCTCAAAACGAAGGAGGAAAAAATCAACTACAGAGAAAAGAAGGTTCAAGAAAGGACAGATGGCCTCCGTTTCAAGAATCAGACAAAATTGGAACGGATGGCCGTGTCAGAACCAGTGGCTCGAGACTATCAGAGAAGAATGGAAGACTTGAGGACCTTCGCATTGAACAGAGGCAAGAAGCTGCAGAAGAAGAACTTAGACGAAACCTGCTGTCTTTATGTGAACAACATCTTCGATCTCGGCTACGACCTTCACGATGCCACAAAAACGTTGGCAGCCGTCATCGATTGCCACCCAGACTTTGGCCCAAAGGAGAAGCTTCCGCAAACTCGGCGGGCCTTGCAAGGATGGCAGAAGATCATATCGAGCCACAAATGACCCGACCACCGCTACCATGGTCGCTGGTGGCCCTCATTGTCACTCACATGATTCACAAGCAGTATCGGCAAGCAGCTGCAGCCGCTTTGCTCATGTTCACTGCATACCTGAGACCAGGCGAGGCCTTGTCCCTTCACGTTCAGGATTTGGTTCCGCCGCTGCCTCAGCAGAAGCACTTTGCCTTGCAGCTCCACCCGGCCGAAAGGCGAGAGCAGTCAAAGGTTGGATTGAGCGACGAAAGCCTCCTGTTGGACGCGCAACAGGCACCGTGGCTGGGAAGAGTTCTTCTGAATCTAGAGAGAGCCAGCCCCTACCTCATCGATCTCACCTACGAGGAGTTAGGAACAGCTTGGCGCAAGACTCTGGAGCGAATTGGATTGGCCCAGCGACATGCTGTGCTGTACCAACTGAGGCACAGCGGACCATCGCACGACCGACTTCTTCGTCTTCGAAGCCTGCTAGAAGTGAAGCAGAGAGGAAGATGGGCGTCGGACAAAACCCTGAATCGGTACGAGGCACATGGCCGCATCAGCCAAGAATTCTTCAATCTGCCACAGCAGATCCAAAACCGGGCGATAGCTGCCGAGCGCCGTCTGCAAGTGGAGGGCCCAAGACTTTTTGGCCTCAGCAGTCCATAGCCTCGGACAAGTCGTCCAAGATGATGATCGAAGTTTTCAGTGGCTGCACGTTTGGCTAAGGTTTTTTCACTTTTTGATTTCACCTCTTTTGCATGGGATCTTGAATACGGGGGAGTAACTGTGATTTGCTCGACCAGAGTGTTTTGCAAACACTAAAGACTTTTTTGAAGAAGCGCCGCAAACGAATTGGCATGGTCTGGTTCGGAACTCCATGCACCTCCTGGTCGCTCGCTCGCCGGAATGATGGAGGGCCACCTTTAAGGGACGATGCTGACTACCTTTGGAGCGGTCTGCCTGGCTTGTCACACCGTGACCAGCAGCGAGTGCAGCAAGGAAACCTGCTTCTCCTGGCTACCGTTGACTTGATTCACTTGTGCAATGAACTTCATTTAGTTTGGGCAATGGAAAACCCCTTTAGCTCTAGGCTGTGGAAAGCCCCACCGGTGCAAGCACTTCTTTCGGACGTTTCGGTGGAGCTTTTGAAAGTTGACTACTGTGCCTATGGCACGCCTTGGCGAAAGTCCACGGGCATCCTAACCAATGCCCCCAATAGGCTCGCGCCAATTTGCAGAATTTGCATGCCTCGCAATGGTAGGTGCCAATACTCTGGACACCGACATTTTTGCTTGACAGGCAAAGATGCATCGGGGATGTGGCTCACTTTAAGAGCTCAGCCTTATCCCAGAGCTTTATGTGAAGCCATTGCTCGCCAATTTGCAAAGCACTACAGAGAGCACTTGTGAGAGTGGATTGGGAGGAAATGCTTTTCGTTCGAACTGGCTGCAGAAGATCTGCAGACATGGCATTCTGTTTAACACCGTTGGCACCACTCGCCACTTGCAAAAAGATGAAGGCGGGCTGTGCTCGGTGTGGCCAACTGGCATGAGATGAAACGTGCCTCATGTAGAGTGTTTTTAACACGAAAATGATAGAGTGAAGTCGGGATGCCGCCCGCAAAATATCAAGTTCAACCTCCTCCTCCGCTCCACCACCTCTCTTGCTCCTACCGGGAGAAAATGCTTTTCGTTCGAACTGGCTGCAGAAGATCTGCAGACATGGCATTCTGTTTGCCTTATATATATATAATATATATATATATGTATATTTGCCCTATAGCCTTCCAAGACAAATGTGGTTGGCCTGCTGTTGCAGTTTAAATTCTAGTAGAACAAGTGTGGTTCGGTACAAAGCATGAAAACCATGGTTGGTCTCACCACATACATATGAGGGCAGCTGCCTTCGATGAGTGGGGGTTTACTCGACAACCCAGATCTTTTGACGAGAGCCAAAGCAGCAACAACACGCCTACAAGAAGCAGAACTACTAGCAGCAAGCAGCACAGAGGAAGAACAGTGGATGCAACTCGCCACAAAATCCTCAAGTACATCCTCATCAACATCACCACTGGCCCAACCGCAACCATATGCTGTCAGCATCAGCGCGAGATGGGCCTTGAGGTCTACGGACAGCTATGCCACAGGCAACGCTGGGAACACGCAGCATCGGCTACCTCATGCGGCTCCTCAAGCCAGTTTTCGATGCCAACAACATTGAGGAGTCCTTCGCAGGGAGTTCGACTTTGCCCGGTACGAACGTGACAACACCAGACCAGGTCGACCAGACCAGGTCAAAAAAGCAGTGCTCATGAATGAGAAAACCTTCACCTCAACCCAGGAACAACAGCAACATATGCCGACATACAAGCGACAATCATGGAATACTACAGAACAAACGCAGCACTCACAAGACTACAACAACAAATAACAACAGACATCTTCGGCCGTCAGCAGCAACTTTGGTGGAGGCGCAGCTGCAATGAACATTGGCAAAGGCAAGTGCAACAAAGGAAAGGGCAAAGGAAAAGAGAGATACGCCAACAGCATATGATACAAAGGAAAGGGGTATCAGCAAGGAAAAGGCTACGGCGCATACTGCACATACAACAAGGGCAAGGGAAAGCACCAACACTGGCAAACAAGCGCCAAAGGAGCAGACAAAGGAAGCTAAGGAAAGGGCAAAGGAGCAAGGACAGGAAAAGGAAAACATTCCACAACAGGATGCTACAGGTGTGGCCAACAAGGTCACTTAGCAAGAGACTGTAGAGTGGCAGTTTGCAACGTGTCAGAGACAAGACAAAAAAGGGGCAGGATGCAACTATGCAGTGGTACACTCAGAGCAACACCACGAGACTACTTGTGGAGCAACGACCAACGACCAAACATCCGGCTATACCATCACAACTGGCATTGCCACCAGCGTCAGAGGCAACACCAACTTTGCACTTTGTCTCAGCAGTGGACCTCACAGTAGCAACCGTTGATGACAGTCGCAACCGCAACACCGCCTCACATGCCGAATATGTGGGGCGCCAGACACCGGGGCTCGGGGGCTCACACCCCGGGCCTCGACTGGCAACGCAAGAAACACTACAGGCACAGGAGGACAACAAAGCATAACTTATGATCGACAGCGGCGCAGCCACACATGTTTGTCCAACATGGTTTGCACCAGACACCCCTGTGCACTCTCTAACCAGGGCAGGGCCCACACCTGCGGACAGCAACAGACGAGAACATAGCAGCGCACGGATACAAATGGGTGTACATGCAGAACAAAAATGTAAAGATGCAAACATGGCTTTCCAACACTGGAATTACCGAGGGCCCTTCTGCTCAAGTACAACACAGAGAAAAGGCGTGCGTGAACAACAGAGCTGCCTTGAGTTTTTCAATATATATATATATATTTTTTTCTTTGATATATATATATAAGTCAATAAAAAAATAACAGTATATATATATATATATCGACTATAAGATTCCCTAAGTATATCCCTATCCTCAAATGTGAAGGGTTTTGAGGGTCCGGGCCCCTGTTATGGAGGGCTGCATGCGCTGGAAGATTCTGGTTGTCTTTGTTCATATGTCTACTCATTGGCATGTCCTCCTCCTCCTCCTCCTTCTCTGCCGCCGCTCAGCCCCACCTCCGCGATCTTCGGACAGCGGCGAACACGCCGAGCGGTCCAGGTTTGACGATACGGGCGGAAAAATCATCTCCAATGGCACCTGGAAGCAGGACGACTGCGGGGCGCTTGTACCGCCGCGAAAACGCATCATTCCTGGGTTGCAAATAGGTGCGCTTTTCACTTTTTGCCGCAGCCATTTCCATCGAACGTCAGTCGCTACGAAACGGGTTTCCGAAGTGCTGGACTGCAGCGCAGCGAAGCGACCCAACCGAAGCCACTGACAGAGGCAAGTTGAGCAACTTCCGAACATTCTAATTAGTAGGAGTGGTTTCAGCATGGGAGGCTGGAGAAGCTGACAGCAGAGTATGGGGCACCTATGAACCACCATCGTGTTCCCCAACATCTTCGGACGGGGGAGTTTGTCCCGCAACGCCTACACTTATACTGTAGGTGGCTCAGATCCGCGTCGAGCATGCAGCCAGCCCATCATCTACCCATGTGAGCTCCTTGATGGTCCACCAACAACTTCAACAACACTCAACTCAAAAGTAGCCTCCTCGTGAGTACTGGTGTCGGATGTACGGACCTCGCTGCATGGATTGGTTTCCCTCGGAATGGCTGGGAAGTGGGCCAGGCTTTTGCAACCTTATCCAGGTCCTGGGGTTTGAGTTCACCATCCAAAAAGTTGTATACCTGAATCTGCCCCTGTAAAATGCTATCGTAATGGCCTATCAAAGGTCCAAGACCGAACCGGTTCTGGTGAACATGACTCACACACTACCAGGAACCTATGGAAGGACTCAGCTCAGAAACACGGCAGGCTTTCAGTTGTGACTCGGTCGTGCGTGGATGCCATGCCGTCGGGGCGGTGGTGCAGATGCTGAGGCAAGAGTGTTGGTGGAAGCTCGCTGAAGCTTTCATCTGAGCAGTTGCCTGCTCAAGCCCGGGAATGATAGGGCTTGCCTGCTCACACGGCAGGTTGGAGACAACCCCAGCCAAACTTACAAACCTGGAGAGAAAATTCCTTGGGAGAAAATGTTGCTGCGTAGATATCTTCTGGATTCCGTGTTGCTGATGTATTCAGACAATAGCCTGGTGATTTGCATTATTTTGCGTTCATTTTTCAATATCGGTCAAAGCTGTTCTGTTTTGAATCTTGACAGGCCGCAGCCTCTCATCACCTCGCGCTCAATTTGATCGATTGAAGCCAAACATGCAAACAATTGAGCTTCAACACCGCCCACCACGCACCGGAATCGTTGAGCAGAGCCCGGCCAAAGCGCACCATCAGCGCAGCGCTCCACTGCGCAGCCGAAGCTGACTTTCAAGACGCACGCAGCGACATCTGATCCAAGCTCGTCACCGGAATGCCGTGGAGCGCCCTGAACGGTTGGATTACCAAGGTTCAGATAGAACATTTTAGATCAATGCGACCCACAGAATCAGAACTGTTTTGCAATTGCCAGAAATTTTCACAGTGTCTGTGGCCATGCGCTATAGCTCTGGCAGGACCGGGGGGAATATCAATCTGGCTGGTTCTCCTGCTCCCACATCCACCCACCCAGGGACTTGTTTGAAGCTTGGCCGGGCCTTAGCTGCAAAATGCATCGAACCCGGAGGCGACGGTCCGAACGTCATTGACATGGCTATGCGCAGCCCACCTTCAGACAATCAGTCTCGCAGCTGAGCCTGCATTGACTGTCTAAAAAAAGATCGATCGAGCTAATCGAAAACGCTGAGGCAGTATATTCCTGGCGCTTGCAATCCAGCTAAAGTCTTTCGGGCCTCAACGCACAATGTCATTTGAGGGAACTTCACCATTTCTCGAAGCCTACTGCAGCATTTTGTCTTATGGCATCCGTTTCAGGTTTTGTTTCCAGCTTTGTGCTACCGACGTTGCAGCGGAAGGTGCGCCTGATGGTGCCACGCTTGCTTGTTGCGCTTGGGCAAATCAATGTGGATATAGAGGTTTGCCCTGTTTTCCTGGCATGTTAGTGAAAATACAGAAGCCGGTTCAAACGCCAATGTGCCACCC